AATATGATATAATAAAAATATAAATATAAATATATATAAAATTTTTAAAAAAAAAATAAATAAAATTTAAGATAAAATATAAATTTAAATTAATCTAATTTTGTTAAATATATATATATATATATATATATATATATATATATATATATAACCTACATAAATGAAATAAATCACAAACTCCTCCATATAATATATTTATAAGATACATTTCAAAATCCTGGAATTTGAACCGGGAACATTTAATCAAATATTGATGGTTTGCTTAATTAATAGCATGATTAAGATTCGTGAAAAGAAAAATAGAGGGCAAGGCCAGTAAAAAATGAATAGGTGAGGGACGAAACCAAAGTTAAAAGACAACCTTAATTTATATATTTTGCTTTTAAGATCGTAGACAACAAATATTGTGCAACTAAGAAATAACGAAAAATAATACATAAAAGGAAATTGAAAAAAGAAATATAATAAATCTCCATAAAATGTGTTAAAATGAAGATACTCAGACCACATATCCCTTAAACAAAGCTATAGACAAAAATATATGTTGAGAATTAAAATACGTAAATATAAAACATTAACACAATCCAGCACCCTATTTTATTGATGTTGTGCTTTTGCTTTATCTAATTCCCTTAAAGGCAAAACATAAAGCAAGAACAATCAATATGGGAACCCCAAACATTAAAAATTCCGAACGGAAAAATAGCAGAACACAGAAAATGATTACAGGAAGCAACAATTCCACTGGAAAATTGTGTGGGGCTTCATTCTTCTCTAAACCATTCCATTCACCTCCTCCCTTTTGATCAAATTCACTATTACCCTGCAAAAATATTACAAATAATAATATTAAAAATAGATTCATACCAAATTTAATAATAAATCATCACTATGCACAAGGATAATCCATGGAGAGGCTTCTGTTAATGAATGGTCATAGAATACGCATTAAAGCATAATGTAAGATTATTGCATGCTTTAGAGTCTCTTGCCTTGCTACAAGGGCTAATTGCTATTGTTGCTACCACATTCGAGATTAGAATCAAAACAATTATGCATTTTGCAAAAGCCATGGTGATATCTATACCAAAAAATAAGAACAATTGAAAACAACAAGAGTTACAAGAAATAGAGGAATTATGCGATGGTGAATGCATTAATAGGCTAAACTCTTTTGTATAGAGTAAATGCTACATTTTTTTTAAAATTAATTTTTTATCACTATAAAGATTACCTGAAGTAATTCTAATACAGGATGACTCAAACATAATGGATAATATAGAAAAATCAATTTGCGCATGTGTAGATAGTAAAAACTTAATAATGATCTTAACATGATTAAAAATTATGAAAAAACACATTGAAATCATATAAATGTAAAATTTAAAGGGAACTAACATTCTCTTTTTTTCTGGGTGTTAGTTTCTAGTTTTCAAATTATTGTTCTATAGATGTTGCGTGATGAAGAGAGGAGTATGATTTTTCAATGAAAACATAGAATGTCTCTGGAATAAACAAAATTTTATTTACGAATGTAGAAAATTTAGAATATTGCATTAAGTCCAAATACGAGAAATCATAAAGGACAATAACGAGCAATAAAAGGAGAATTCTTAGTGTTTGTATAAAGTGTTGTTGGTATAAATGTAAAAAGTTTTGGTAGAGGGTTATTCTCACACTTTAATGACTATTTATGCTCTCAATTAGAGAGAGATGAGTCGTGAGAGTAGTAGGAGATCATAGTCTCAGAGTCTTTCTTTATTTGGTAAAAGGCGTTTTAACGGACTAATCTTATGTGGTAGCTTTGAATGAGTCAGTTATTCCACCACACAAGCGCAAATTATGTCATGGCTCGACATTTATACTAAATCTGGATAGTTTAGTCTAGGTCTTTGGCATGATTAAGATGTTTGGTTTGCTTCATGTGAAATATGACTCATGTATGAAATGTTAATGTATATTATGATTGATTTTGTATGACTTCTTACCTTGTTTGTTTGTCTTGTTTGGATGTTTTTGTGCGTCGTTTCTTGACAATGATCATTTGGTGGGTGTGAGCAGAGAGTGATGTCATGCCTGTGAAACAGACTCTAGGTGGAGATGACCTAGATACATAGTAGTTTTTGTATTTATATCTGTAGTAGCTATATTTTCCTTTGATTGTTTTAGAGAACCAAATCTTGTACATGGTTTTGAGCTTAGTAACATGTATATGGAGTTTTTTCTATAGTTATATTTAAATGACTATAATAGAACTTTATATTCTTATGGTTATTAATTGTTCTATAGTATTGAGTATGTGATAGTTCCTTTATAGTAATAATACTATTTAATTGGAAAGTTATATATTTAAAATAAAATGATAGAAATCAACTTACTCTATAGTTCAAATCAATCTATTAGAAATGAAGATCTTGCTTCAAGAATTTCTCAAACGGTCTCTGATCTTCCAATAGATAAGTAGGAAGTTAGAATTTGTAAAGAAGGAAACTTTAGAAAGATAAAATTGTTTAGACAATGAAAATTCTTATTAGAAAATTCTATTTATATATTTTTGATATTTTTAAAAAAATAATAAAGTATCATTATATAGAACACTCTACTAGATCTAATACTTATTTTTTGAAGTTCTTATCCATACTCATTTCACGTGTTCTAAAAAAAAACAAAAAATGGAGAGATTTGCTAACATTTTTAAACACTGCCAAAGATATAATGGA